TGGCCCCGCTCCATGGCTTTTCTCTGGCCGTGGGACGAGGTGGCAGGTATCAGCTCCCCCGGGGCAGACGCACGTGCCCTCCGAGGCCCAGAAAATGCCCGGGACTTCCTTGGCGTGAGGAGCCTCCCGTGACCCATGTCAGCTCCCGGTCAGCCTGGAGCTGGGCTTTGGGACAGGAGGAGGCTTGGCCCAGAAAGAGAACTGGGCAGGAACCCCCTCCTTGCTGCCAGGGAGCCTGAGGCTGCCCACCGAGTGCTTTACATATATTCAGAGGCTGCCTTTCCTTGCGTGACTAACGGTACCTGACACTATGAGAGGGTAACGGTGTTGAAGATGAAGTGTCTAGTATGTAATGTATCTTCTAAAGCAGAGACTATTTAGGTGGGTGGGTGGGACCAAGGGGGGCCTTGAAGGCGTTGGAGCCTGATGCCCCTGCACAGGACGGGGACAGGCTGGCCGCAGGGCCCAAGGTTGAGGCGCTGGGCTGCAGCCCCGGGGAGTGGGGCCCCGAGCCTCTCCCTGCCTGGGCCCGTAGCCGCCCTGGGAGCCTCGGGGCCGGCAGCACAGCTACCTCTGGTGGCAGAAGAAGAGAGTCCCGCCGCGGGGGCCCTGCCCAGGGCCACAGGCCCCGGAGGCCACGGCCGCATGGGCCCGCCTTTCCCAGCAGAGGGCCCCGCCGCGCCTGGCCTGCCTTTCTCAGGGGCCAACACCACCCTGCCCGCCCCGGGCCCTCACTTAGCGCCAGCAATAAATGGGGATCACTGCCCACTGCCGGAGGACTTTCACTTTCAAAAGGGACTGTTGTTACCTCAGGAGGCTCCTTAGTGCACATATGACCCTGGGAGGGGGTGGAACCACGAGGGGGCCCCTGCTCGGCCGCGGGGTGCAGTCCAGGGGCCTCGAGGCCCTGGACGAGGCGGCCGCTCCCCTGCCAGGCCCTCTGACTTTGGAGGCTGGGAGTTGGGGCTCCCACCCGTGTTCCTTCAGCGGTGCGAACTGCTGCCTTTCACCCACGCCCTGTTCTTCTGGGGCTTGCTCCGGGTCCTCAGAGAGGGGGTCCCCCCTGCTCTCCTTCCAGGGGCCCTGACCACACCATGGTGTAGCCAAGCGCTAGTCACCCTCCAGCGGGCACACCCCGGTCCCCAATGGAAAGTCCTACCGGCCTGGGGGCTGAGATTTGTGCTCCTCTGCCCCTCTGGTGGGGGCGGGCAGGGCCCACGGCCACAGACAGAGACTTTCACTGCCCCATCTCACTTCTCTGGCTTCTCTTTGGATGAGAAAAATGTAAAAAAATGCGCTGAGGGAGAAGGCCAGCCCCCGCCTATTCCAACTGCGCCACTGTGTGAATGTTTCTGCTCCTCAGCTGAGGAAAAGCAGAAATGCCACCCACAAACCCACAAAGCCCCCAAACCTCGAGACGTCCCTGAACCCAGAATTCTCCCTCAGAGCTGTGATAGCGTGGGTCACACAAAGTCGCCGCGCTTCCCGCCCCCGCCGCCTCTCCCAGAGCATGTGCCGGCTCGGTCATTTCTCAAATTAAATATCAGGCACATGGTTTGACCGGGAATCATTTGGATTCATGGATTTATTTATATGAAAGCTCTGACAGAGACAAATTCAGTCACCTTTACATATCTGGTTAAAGGTTAAAAAATTGCCTATACTGAAAAGAAAAAAGAATTATTTGGAAGCAGGACTGTCTCCTAATATATGAGGGGACAGGGACGTGGCCACACCAGCCGCTGAATGGGAGCAGGTGTGGGAGGCAGACACCAGCTGTGTGTGAAGTCCCACCTGGGGCCACACCAGGGCCATGGGCCCGCCTGTCCTGGGGGAGCTGTGCGAGTCTCGAGTTCATTCTTAGTGGGGACGGCTCCATGCTGACACTGGGAGCTTCAGAGTCAGGCCTTCACCCCGACGAGGAGCTGAGTTTGGAAGGGAAGCAAGGTCATACCTGGCCCGGCCTCGAGAAGGTGAGAGGAAGGACCCAGGAGACGCGCACCTATCGGGACCCTAGGCCCCAGCACTGACGTGGGTGCATCACCTTCCTCTGGAGTCATGCTGGTCCATACAGAAACCATGGGGTTCATGCCTGACAGTCTCTCTAGGAAAAGATGCCCCCTGCAGCGGGAATGGGGGGGGTTGCTCCTTTGCAGGGATGGGGGTGGTCACGGGTCCCCTGTCCAGCTTCTGGGGGGCACCAGGGCACGCCTTGAGAGCACCGAAGGATGCCAGGAAAACCTGCCTGCTCTGCTCTGCACCCGTGTCAAGGTCCCACGCTACCTTTTCTCTCTCTCACCAATCACTAACATACACCCGTTCGGGTCACCGTGATCTTCTAAGCAGTTTGCCAGTTACTGTCTCTGCAGCTCAGTCGCATCCCTCCGTGTGTATGGTTACTGGGGACTCACCATCAGTTCAGAACTATCAAAGGAACCATGTATGCCACAGCTAATCCTAATAAACCGGGTGTTTTCTGCACGGTGGTGTCGTCCGTCTGTCTGATCCGAGACCACAGCGCTCCCTGGACAGAGAACAGCAGGCCCTCTTGCAGGCCACTATTGCTGTCTGGGCTGAGCCAGTCATCTGACCCAAGCCAGGGGGTAGGGACTGGATTTTCCCTCTGCCGTTCTTGGGGACTTGTGCCCGGAGAAGACTGCACGCGTGCTTTCTCCTCCCGACTTGGCCGGGGCCGCCCCCAGCTCTAGACTCCATGGTTGCTGCCCCCCCTTGTGGCCCCACCCGGGCGGCTCCACTCGGCCACGCGCCCGTCTCAGCTCTCCTGCTGTGGGGCCCGGGGCTCTGCACGTCCTCCTCCACTTCTGTGTCCGCGGTCGGTCGGCTCTGCCTCCACCTCCGCCTCCAGGGTTGGGCTACAGGCCACTTCCCTCCGGCCCTACTGCTGCCGCCTTCCCCTCCCACCAGAGGGCGACAGCGCCCTCCTCAGGGGCTGTCCTTGCTGCCTTCCCCACACGGCCACAGGAGGGCGTGTTGAGTGCGAGGTGGCCCTTCTCGCTCACAACCCGCCCGTGGCCCCCCTGCCTTCACCCTCTTCCTCCCGTGTCCACCAGCCCACACACACCAGCCTCCCTGCTGGCCACCCTGGAGGCCTTTCCTAACCACCTAGTCTAAAGCCAGCACACCCACCCTGGCTCCTTCCCCACCTGCTGTATCTGACAGGGTCTGTGCTCTGCTTGACCACACAGTAGCTCTGTCCCTCCATCAGAACTGAGCTGCAGGAGGGTGTGTGTGGGCTTGCATTAGGCCTCCGGTCTCCAAACTTGTCCAATGAGGGAGGGAGAGGCTGAGGGAGGGAAGGCCTGCTGCACCAGGCACGATGCAGGCCCTGGGGCTGCCCCCCAAAATGAGGACAGAGGGACACAAACCTGCCACTCCAGTGCCCAACAGTTGGGGCAGGAAGAAGGGCGATGGGAGCACAGGGGACCAGCCCAGAGGCGGCCCTGCGGGAGAGCAGAAAGATGAACGCAGTGGGGTGCACAGGTCCTGCGGCAAGAGGGCTCAGGACAGGACTCGAGGGTGGAGGGAGCTCAGGTTGGCACCCACAGCAGCACCCAAGGACAGTGCAGTGAAGGTGTCCACTGAGGCTGGTGCGGCGTCAGGACCAGCCACAGGGAGCCCACAGCCCTGACTGGAGGGGCTGTCGGTGGAACATAGTGCTGCCCCTGTGAAAGGGGGGCCACCTGTCAGGCTGTGGCCTCAGGTAGAGGGCACAGCCATGAACAAAATGGAGGCTTGCGGGGAGGGGCAGCCTGGCCTTTCTCCTCCCACCTTCCCCTCTGGCTGCAGGGAAGTCTTAAGCACATGGTCCAAGATGGCTACTCCAGCTCCTGCCACTGCGCCCTCGTTCCAGCCCATAGGAGGGGAAGAAAGGAAAGCGGCAGGCATGTACCTTTCATGGAATAAGCCAGAGACCGCACTTAGTATCTCAGCTCACATCTAGAACCCAGTGGCACAGCCACAGCGAAACGCATGGGAGGCCGGGAGGTGGTGGGCCAGGTGCCCACAGAACAGGACAGGCTCCGGTGTCAGGGGACACAGCAGGCTGTGCCTGAGAACAAGTGCCTGCACTGAGGCTTTCAGGGACAGGAGGCCCAGGGTCAGTATCTGCCTGGAAGATGCCAACAGGGAGCGAGAGTGAGCTGGAGGTGAGGCCCGGTCCTGGGGCCAGGACAGGGGACAAAGAAGGGAATCGGTGGCTACTGAAGAGGTAAAATCAACAAGGTTTGGTGACCCTTGAGGGCCAAGGGATCTGGAGGAAACATAAGGAACACATGCAGATCTCCAACATGCTACAAAGAAGAAAAGCTTACAAAGTATGCCCCAAATTGTCACTGTTCTATCTTCCAGGAAAGAATGGAAATTCACAGTGAAATTCACATTGGTTGAGCTGCCACTCCTGGTGGGAACTTCCTCCGAGGCGCCCCATGGAATTTCTACATGAGCTTTGGGTGGTTGGTAGTGTTGCTCTCATTCAGACCGGTCAGCAAACTGCGGCTCTGAGGGATTCGGTGATTGGCTCAAAGCCAGTGCAGATTCGGGGCCCCAGCCCGGTGTCCTAGACCCTGGTGCAGGATCCCCCTCCCTCCCCAGAGGAGGAAGGCGGGCGACGAAGCCCCGGTTGCAGTGCACGCAGATGCAATGCTCAGATCTTAAACCACCAGGAGGACCTGGTACAGCCTGAGGGTGGCTTCCTGGCTCAGAAGTAGAAACTCCCAGAAGCCTGAGGGCCCCAGCCCTCCGTCTGAGGCCTGCCGGGTGAGACTTTTCCCAAGTGAGAAATTTTTATGCCTTCAAAATGTCTGCTCAGGGACGAAGGCTGCTCTTAGTGCTAGCAAGAGCACCCCTAACCATGTGACGCCAGGGCCCAGATGGCAGCCTCCCCGCCGCAAGCAGTGGCTCTTGGGTCCTGGCAGTGAGACGGGGCACGGAAGGCTGTGTGGTTTTCCAGGTGGACGAAAGAACATATGCAGAGCCGTCACTCTTTTTTTAAATTTTTATTTCTTTGCAAGTGGGGAAGATCTTAATCGATGGTTGAAAAAATGTGTTATATATTCATCACAGACCTGCCTCATGTAATGACTGCTTGGGTCAGGACCAGGACCAGGGTGAGGCCAAGTAAGACACTTGCCTGGGACACAATGTAAAAGGGGCACCAAGAATCTTTATAAGCAAGATAAGTAATACTTTCATGTGATTTAAATTAAAAGTAACATAAAAAATGCATGATGAACCCAATAGCAGCATTTTAAATAAAGACAGGGCCAGGACTCCTGATGTTTCTCCGAGCTCCAGCACGACTCAGCACACAGCACCTGAGAACAAAGTGCCTCGCCTGCCCCGCACAGCCCGCCATGGCTCCTTTTCTCTCCCTGGGGGTGCGACAAGCCGCCCCCACATTACGTCTTACGTACAAGCTGTGCTTGTTGCGTCTTTGGTAAGCGCTCAGCTGATCTATTCTTCCTTCTGTGAAAAATGTGCGAGTATCTCGAGCTGGGATAGAATGCTTAGCTTTCCCAATAAATCTCACAGACATATGTTTCCACTCGGCAGGAATGAATTAAAGTTGCTACCTGAGGGACAGACGTGCTTTTTAATTCTAAATGCAACACAGCCACACCATGAAAACAACACAGAAATCAGATGAAACCCTCAACTCTCGCTCTGGCAGCCGGCCCTGTGTTTCCGAGCCTGGGTTTGCAGGGAGCCCCGCCAGGCAGGCAGACGGCCCCCGCACCCCCGTGTGTACACAGGCCGCACCGAGCATCCTCAGGACCACCGGAAGCTTGGCCACACCGCCTTACTACCATTTCCTTCCCCGCCGGGCTCACGGAGGCTGTTCTCATTGTTTCCTGTTTGCAACACCGCACTGAACACCTTCCCCACCGTAGGCCACAAGTAGCCCAGAAAAGGAGGAAGGTGTGATGAGGTAGCTGGTGGATGCCCCTGCGACCCAGGGGCTGAGGGGACCGGCTGCGGTCCCCGGCACACGGACTCCCCTGGCCCCCCCACCTCCCTGGCCAGCACAGCTCCCCAGACTCGCTCTCTCGGTGACCTGCAAAGTACCACATCCAGAACATTTCCCCTGAAACCTCCTCACTTAGGTTTTTACTTACAATCTGTTATAAAACAAATACGCTTTCAAATAATAGCTGTAAAAAAGATGTGTTCACTATACCAGTTCTTTTGTCCCTAGTATCGATTTTTAAAAAAATGCATTGTAATCGGGGTACCTGGGTGGTGCAGTCGGTTAAGCATCAGAGTCTTGGTTTTGGCTCAGGTCATGATCTTGGGGTCGTGGGATCGAGCCCCACATCGGGCTCTGCCCTCAGCACGGAATCTGCTTGAGATTCTCTCTCTCCCTCTCCTTCTGCCCCTCCCCCCACTCGTGCTCGCTTTCCAATAAATAAAATCTTTTTTAAAAAAAGGCATCGTAATTAAAAAAAATTTTTTTTTATGTTGAAACTTCTTACTACATACCTTGGCGCACATGGAGTTAGTGTGCGGTCTAAGGTGGGACCTGTGGCTCTTAGGCCACCAGCCTGGGCTCCACCCTTCCTGCCTGGGTACCCAGAGCAAGCGGAATGACCTTGCAAAACTGAAGTCAGCCCCTGCTGCACCCTCCTTGTCCCTCCCTCCACACCTTGGGTGGAGCCCAGCATTTCACAAATACACAACAAGCTCACCCCCTGCGCCGGTGTGGTCCACAAGTAGCAGGAACTCACTTTTGATGCCCCCAGCGAGGGAGGCAGCTGGGCAAACTGAGGCATGGAGCTGTGACCAGGCAGTAAGAAGTAGAGCCAGGGTGAGAACTCTGGCCCCAATGGGGGCCTGGGCTCTGGCCATGCTGACCTCCTCCAGTCTCATCTTGGGCCTCTTCAGGCTCCCAGGCCCATGTCCAAGCCCTGCCTTCCACCGAGCAGGCTCCGCTGTCCACTTGGCAACTTCTCCTCCCCCACGGTGATCACCCTCTTGCCTACTGGGTACCTTGTTCAACTGACCCCTCCGATCTTACAGCTGACCCCATGTGAGCAACATGCCAGACCAATATGTATGAAAAGCACGGAGGGGCTTAAGGAAAAGATCCCAGAAGTTCTGGAACTGACAAAACAAGAGTAAAAAGGCACAAAGGACAGAACAATAACTGCAGGGAGGGCCAGGACACCACTGCTGTTCCCAGGGCAGAAGGGGGCAGGCCTCAGGGTGCTTGCTGCCTGGGCCTCAGGACCCAAGGGACTGTGGTGGGGGGCAGCCTACAGGGTATCCTGAGAAAGCCGCCTCTGACATCCCTGATAATGTCATGGCCCCTGTCGCAGGGGCCAGGAGGCCGCCCCAAGAAGGAGGCTGGCCCTGGGCTGGGGGCAGATAGAGGTTAGTCCCCACAGCCAGCGGCCAGTGGGCTGGGGAGTGGAGGGAGCCAGGCTGGGGCTAGCTGGGGTCCCTGGGCCTCCTCCTACCCCTTCCAGCTCCACCCCTCCTCCCTGGCCCTCCTCCTGGGACTGCAGGGCTCGGAAGCCGGAAGCCGGTCCTTGCCTGAGGGGGAAGCGGCCTCTGTGGTCGCTCAGTCAGCCCTCCCACTAAACCTCCCCCAGGACCACTGAGGGCAGGGGTGGGGGGGTCGGACTTCACCAAGAGGAGCCCAAGGCAAAAGCTGGGCCTGAGGGGAGTCCCACCACTGGAAAGGCTGGGCCCAGCTGGGGAATCTCAGGGCCCCTGCGGAGACGGCCTGCCTCCTCAGACCCACAGACACACCCCGCCAGTCCCCAAGAAGCCCCTGTTGGGCACCGAGGGCCCATGAGGGCCTCCAAATCCAGAGCTTCCTCCCTGGCCCTCCCCAACTCCTGCTCCTGTGCCCGCCCCAGACACGGGCTCAGGCTCCCACAGCGAATGAAGCTTTATTGCCACACACAGACTTTCCTGCTCCCTGTGGGCCAACTCTGCTCCTCAGAGAAGCCTGCTCGCCGGCTTGGCTTGGAAGCAGACAAGCCAGGGCCAGGAGAGCGGGGGTGTGGAGGGGCCCGGGGGAGGGAGGCCCAAAGAGACCCCCCACCCCAGGTTTCCCTGAGCGGTGCCCAGCCCCAGGGCCTTGGGGGCTGGCTTGTGTTGGGGGAGGGGGCTCATCCTGACCCCCCCTCGGGGCCCCCAGGCACGGAGGGGGAGGCGAACCCCACGGAGCCCCCTCAGCCCACCACGATGCCCTCACCGGAGCAAGAACAGAAAGACGAGCCGTACATGCGCACGCGCGCACACACACGCAGGGCCCACACGTGCCACAAGCTGACGGTCAGCAGTCCAGGCCGATGGACACCAGCAGGTCCTCCAGGGCCCGCAGCCGCTGCTGTGCCTCCTCGATGGCGCTGTAGGTCTGCACCGTGCTGGCCACGTGGAAGCGGATGTCGTCCACCAGCGGGATGGAGTCCGTCTCCTGTCGGGCAGCCACGGCCGCCGCCTCCTCCCGCACGGCCTCCACGAAGTCCTCCCGCTCCACCAGCTGCGGACAGGCCAGCTCAGAGCACGCCTGCCGCCCGCCCTCAGCCTGCCCCGCCCACCCCGGCTCCCGCGGGCCCACCTTCTCGATGACCTTGGCCATGTACTCAGTGCACTGGTCCTCGAGGCGTGCCAAGCGGAAGAGCTTGGCCACGCGCCACACGCCCACCACGCTGTCCTCGTCCAGCAGCTGGGCCAGGCTGCGGCCACACAGCCGCTTCAGGCCCGGCAACAGGTACATGTCGGCCACGCTCAGCACATCATAGGCCGCCTCGGGGGGCAGCTGCAGTGAAAGAAGGGGTGAGGGAGGGTGTGCCCCGAGGTCACCAAGGCCACTCAGGGCCCCGGCCGCAAGGCTGGGTGGAGGCTGCAGGCAGGGCAGGAGCTCCCACCCAGGCCTCGGGGGGACCCAGATTGCTGCAGGCATTGTGGGACCAGAGAGGCTGGAGGAGACTGGGGTTCCCGGGCCTCAGGCAGGCTTGCAGGCCTGGTGCAGGCAGGGCCTTAGCAGGGGAAAGAAGCTGAGCTGTGAATCACACAGACCCGTGTTCTGAAATTCTGTTGGGACCCTAGGCAAGTCATTTCACCTGTGTGTGCCTGTTTCCTCCTCTCTGGGAGGTGCAACCATGCCTGTCTCAAAAGGCTGTCAGAAACTGAAGATGTGAATGGGGGCGCTACATGAGCCAAGCACAGGGCTGACATCACAGCCCAGCTTGTCCCCTGTGCCTTCTCCCTAACCAGAGGCCACATGTCCCAGCCTGCGTTGCTGACAAGTACGGCCACTAAGTGAGTTCTCTCCAGAGCCACAGGAGAACTGGTGTGTGTGGCCTCCACCTGGCCGAGGACAAAGGAAACTGCTTGCCTCGTCTTCCTCAGCCTCCTAACGCGTGAGTCGGCCTGTACCCCGATCTCCAGGTGCAAAGGAGAATACCACCTCAGGTGCTGTGGACCAGGTCCGGGCCGCTCTGTATCTCGTCAGGAAGCGCGAGTGGAACAGACCTACAGCCGCTCACTTCTACCCGGCTATGGTGCTTCTGCATGACGGCAGCGCTGGACGGCCAGGACAAAGATGCTCGGGCACACGACACTTATGCCTAGTCCTCAGAGAAGGTCTGCAGACCCCTGCCCTAGGCCATGTCACAGTGACAAGATGGAGGGGACAGCCTGGGTCCCAGTAAGCCATCTGCCCTGGTGCACATACCTCAGACATGAAGGAGAAACAAACTTCTGCTTTACCACAGTAGCCTTTTACACACACACACACACACACACGCCTTCGGCACTAGCCCCAGCTGCCCCGTCACCCACACGTTAGGGATGCTTTGGGGCAGCTGAAGACCCAGGGAGGCAACAAGAGAACAGGAGACAGAAATCCAGGACCCTGGGCATGGGCTGCTATCCAGAGGTAGGAAGCTCAGGGCTCCCCACTGTTGTGGTAATTCAGGGTTACTCTCCCTACCCACCCTCCAACTGGAGAACTCGGGGACCCCAGGTGGCATGTGCTCATGATGTGGCTCCTGCCATTCATCCCTGCTCTGGAACCGACTGAGGTCCCCTCTGCCTGAAAGACAAATCCAAATGTGTCCCACACTTCTTCTCCAGCTTCCTAGAAAACCAGCCCCATGGAGCAAAGCAGGACCTAGGTCCTCCCTTTAAACCCCGTGAAGACCCGGGCTGTGGCCCTGTCCCGACGGTCATGCCCCCCAGCCCAGTGCACATGGCCTGCCTGAGCCCCGCACCTCTGTGTGGTCGCTATAGATGTAGTAGAGCACGTGCGTGAAGATGTCAGGCGAGATGCCATGGAGGGTGATGGCCGGGAGGCCGCCTGAGGCCTCCAGCTCCTCGTTTTCTCTGAAGTGGTCGTTCAGCAGGGCCTGGAAGTAGTCGCTGCGGCCGCAGAAGAAGGCCTGGGGGAGGCTGGGCTCAGGAAGGGCGAGGGCCAGGGCCCAGGCCCAGACAGCTGGCCAGGGACTTAAGGCAAGGGGGTGGTGGCGTGGGGGGGAAGGGACGGCACCTTGTGGCAGAGAAAGCTGCAACCTTCCACCCGAAAGCAGACATCAGGACAGCTGTTGAAGCCATCAGGACAAGGGAAGGGCAGCTCCCCGAGATCACCCTGGGGGACAGGAAAAAAGATACCCTCAGAGCAAGTGGGACAAGGGAGAGTGGCCAGCCCCAGTCTAAAGCCTATTCTAGCTCGATAGGGTGGACTGCTGCCCCATTTGAAGATCTGAGTACAACACCAACAACAAAAGTAAAGTGGGCTCAGAAAAGGGAAGTGAGAGGTGCCTGGGTGGCTCAGTCGTTAAGCATCTGCCTTCGGCTCAGGTCATGATCCCAGGGTCCTGGGATCGAGCCCCGCATCGGGCTCCCTGCTCTGTGGGAAGCCTGCTTCTTCCTCTCCCTCTGCCTGCTGCTTCCCCTGTTTGTACACTCTCTATCAAAAATAAATAAAATCTTTTAAAAAAAAAAAAAAAGAAAGAAAAGGGAAGTGACCGAGGCGCCTGGGTGGCTCAGTTGGTTAAGCATCTGCCTGCAGCTTGGGTCATGGTCTCAGGTCCTGGGATCGAGCCCCACATGGGGCTCCCTGCTCAGCAGGGGAACCTGCTTTTTCCTCTCCCTCTGTCCCTCCCACTGCTCCTGTGCTTACGCTCTCTCTCAAATAAATAAAATCTTAAAAAAAAAAAAAGAAAGAAAGAAAGAAAAGAAAAGGGAAGTAACTGGCTCCAGGTCACACAAGGGTTGAACCCAAGAGTGGGACTTGTCTACCACAGCTATGTCCACACTGGGCCCCATCCCAGAACGCCATGTGCTTACACGGAGCTCAGGGGGCAGGGCGCAGTCGGCCAGCAGGGCCATGTCCTCCCGAAGCCGGGGGTCTGCTGTGGGGGGCTCAATAGTCAGCACCTTCACGCACGTGCCTGGCTTGGATGCCACTGTGGAGGGGAGAGTACAGCTTCAGGGAGCCAAGTGGGCCCTGCCAGTTCCCGCCCGATGCCCCGGACCCTAAGTCTGGACGCACCAAACTCGGACACCTTCTCGCACTTGGCCTCGAGGTCACTGAGCAGGTCCCACAGCTGGCACTGCTTGGCCAGCCGCTCGCAGTCGCTAACATGTTCCACACCGATGTCCAGGCGGCCTGGGTGCGGCATGGGAGGCTCAGGGCCGGAGAGGAGCCCTCTGCTGTCCCTAGCACTGGGACTCCTAGGTCTACTCGCTGCCTTGGTTTTCCCATCAGGAGCCACTGCCTGAGTTCTACAGGCCCCAGGACAGGAGAGGGCTCAGTTTGCAGATGGGACAAGTTCTTCCTGAGCAGACATACCAGCTCATTGTCTCCCAGCCCGCCCAGGAAGGAGTTGGAACCGGCCCACACTGCAGGGGATAAGTACCAGGAGGTAAAAGGAGGGCCCAAGGCCACAGCTGGGCCTGCTGCTGGACAGAAACGCCCTCCCTGCCTGCCCAGCCTGGGCCCAGAGATTTACCTGTGTACAGGTACTGCAGCAGGGCCCCAAAGGCCACGGGGTTGATCTGCAAGCAGAGATAGCCAGGCGGGGAGGTCAGAGGCGGCCACGCAGCACAAGCCCCTGCTGTCCCTCTGCCCCTGGGAGGGACGCACCAGTGGGTGCCTCAGGACCACGACGTTCTTGCCCTTCCATTTGGTGTCCAGCATGTTGGCAAAGTAGGCACTGCGCACGCCCAGGACGCAGCGATGTGCCCGGAAGGGCTTCCCGTGCACCACAAAAACCACGTCGCTATGGATGCCCTGCTCCAGAAGCCTGGGGAGGGGTAGGCGGAGGGGGTGTTCAGCATGCACCTCCCCCCAGTCTTACCACAGCGGCTCCCACCCCACCCTGCCAGACATCCCTCAGCTCCACATCACCGCCCCCCTCCACACACACCCAGGCCTGCACCCCATCTCACCGCTGCAGGAAGTCGTCGTAGTAGTCCCGCCTCCTGCAGGAGGCTGTCACCTGCTTGTAATCGCGCAGGGCCCGGCGGATAGGGTCGCTAAGTGCCCCATAGAGGCAGCGTTCCCCATCAAAGGTGTTGGCCTCACAGCGGGCTCCTGGGGGCAGCAGGGCTCACCAGTCAGCAGGGTCAGGAACATGCACACTGCGGCTGGGAGAGGGTCTGGGGGAAATCCTCATCTCTCCCCCTGCAACCTTCCCACATGTAGGGCCCAGCCCTGGAATTTGGAGCCCCTTCCAAATTACCCTGGGCCCACTATGACACTAGCATCTTATCTGCCAGGGCCTAGGCACACAGGCACATCTGGGTACCACAGACTACAAACAAAGCAGGCTCAGAGACTGCCCTGTTCTATGCCCTGGAGACACAGCCATAAACAGACAAATCCCTGTCCTGACTAAACTGATTCTCTAGTGGGGCAGTGGCCAATAAACAGGTTAATAAATGTCAGGTGCTATGAAGCAAAAGAAAGCAAGACAAATGGTAACAGTGGTTGTGACTGCCATGTAGAGGCCATGGAAGGTCACTGTGTCCGTGACAACATGCAGAGACCTGAATGGAATGAGGAAGTCGGCCATACAAAGATCTGAGAAAGGGCAATCTAAATAGAAAGAAGATCAAGTGCAAAGGTCCTGAGGTAGAAGAACACTTGGGAGTGCCCAAGTGCCCGAGCACCGGAGAAGCCAGTGTGGCTGAAGAGTGAGCACATGGGGGAGCCAAAGGAGGTGAGGCCAGAGGGGGAAGAGCAGGTCACTTAGAAGCACAAAGACTGGCAAGGCATTCTAGTTTTATGCTAAATGCAACGGGAAGTCTTTGGAGTACTTTAAGCCTATCAGACTTGGGAGACCCACTGGGCTGTATTATGGAGAACAGATTGTAGGTGGGGCAAAAGGGGCAGTCAGGAGACCAGAGGAGGCTGGCTTTGGGGCCAGGGAGAGATGCTGTAATTGGGCTGGGTGGTGGCAGTAGAGACGGGGAAGTGAACAAGGCAGAAAATAGGTTCTAAAAGCAGAACCACCAGGACTTGCCGATTGGGTGTGTGTAGGGGTGACACAAAGACAGGACTTGAGGGCATCTGCAAATGCAAACCACACACACACACACACACACACACACAGAGCCCCAGCCCCTTCTCTCACCGTTGGCCAGAAGATAGAGTACTAGCTCCTCGTGCCCACACAGGCAGGCATAGTACCTGAGGGAGGGAAACAAAGAGTACAGGAGGCAGTTACCAGGACTGAAAGCACCCCCCCGCACCTGCCGTGACCACCCACCCACCTGGCACTCACAAGGGGGTGCTGTCCCACTTGTCCCGCACATTCACCTCCACGTCCCGTTGCTCCAGCAGGTACCTAGGCGGGGAGGAGGTCAGAGCCTGAGTCAGGACAGGTTCACTGTCTGTGAGAGGAAACCCACAGAATGGGGAAAGAAAGAAAACATCCCTTTTGGCTGAGGGAAGTCTCCCCTCAGGTGAAGACAGATGACAGACCAAAGCAGGAAAGGCATTCGAAGCAAAGGGACCAACATAGGTAGATAAGGTGTAGAGATGGGAACTCATAAGGCAAACACTGAGCCTCAGAAGCAGGACCCCAGAGCTGAGGAGGACAAGATTCTGGCCTGAAGGCATTTGGGAGAGAGGAGGTGGTGATGCGCATCTGTTCTGCTAGAGCCCCCTGGCTGCTTGGGCCAGCAGATTGGATAGGGGAGACTGGAGGGAGGGAGACCAAGGACAAGGCTGCTGCAGGTGTCCTGGTGGTGTGAAAGCATGAAGAAAAGTGAACAGATTCTAGAAGGCAAAAGTCAGGAGACATGGTAGCTGATGGCATGTGGGAGGCAAGGGGAGTGGTCATCATGGATGGTGATGAAGCCATCACTGAGGGCAGGAAGCCTGGGAGAGATGTCCAAGTTGGGCCAGGAGTGCTCTTGAGCTGCCCTCAGCTTCTGGGGTTATCAGCTAACTCCTAGGTGACACTTGATGCTGGGGAGGGATGAGGGACGCCGTGGGAGTCAGGAAGCCTGGGACCAGCCCGAGGGAGCTAGTAGTGGGTCAGATACAGGTAATAGGGAGGGAAGGGCCCACGAAGTAAGATGCCCCACATCCCAAATAGGCACCCCGTCACTCCCTGTTCTATGGCGATTTCAGCGCCAGATTTGCTTTAACTGCATTTAGGAGTTTCCAAATCCCGGGGGGTCAGAGGTTGTTTCTGGGTCCTAGGTGTTTCGAGCGTGCCAGGCCCGGTGCGTATCAGTGCGATGAGCCACGTATGGAGTCCCAGGCCCGCCCCGGGGTCTGACCTCCCGGTCCTGAGCGCTCGGAGGGCGACCCTCCTCTCCGCCCACTTCTCCGCGGCTCCGCGTAGCAGTCCTCTCCTCTGAGAAGCCCTCCGGGACCCCAGGGAGCAAAACACCCCCAGCACTCCATCCTGGCGCACCCCGGCTGGGAAAGCTGCCTCGGTCCCCTGCTTGGGCGCCCAGGCGCTCTCGGGGGACGGTCTGTGGTGGGTCCGGCGCCAGGGCTGCGGCGGCGCAGAGGCGTGCGCCTGCCCGGAGCCGGTCCACCGCATGCGCCGGGGCCGGCGGCGCCCCGAGGGCGCCCCTCCTACCCCGCCCCCTCCCCGGGGGCTGCGGGGTCCTCACCGCACTCGGCCCACATCCCCTTTTCTGCAGCTGGCGAAGAGGTCGCTGGTGTCCATGGTGCGAGCGGCTCGGACCCCTGGCCGAACGATCCCAGGCGGCAGTGGCGGCGGCAGCGCGCCCCGGCCGGATGTAAACACACGCGGCCCCGCCCCGCTCCGCAGCGGCGCCTGGCGCCCGGAGGACCTACCCGGGCCGCGCCGCCCCGCCCCCTGCGCGCCCGTGCCCGCCCCCGCCCCGCCCCGTCCCGCCCCGGAGCAAGAACGAGTCGGGCAGGCAAATGAGCTGGGCCCGGCGTGGTCTCCGGGCGGCTTTAATGGGGGTCCCGGGGCGCGGCCGGGGAAGCGGGGCAGTTCCGGGACAAGCCCCTCGGGGCGTCAGGTGGAAATGGGGAGGGCTGTGCCGAGACTGTTCCGTGAGTCGGTGGGAAGCGGGAAGACCCCGCACCGAGGGCCGGGCTGCGGGAGAGCGGCCGGGGCCGGGAGGGGAGGGGAGGCGCGGCTGTCCGCTCCGGGTCCGCCCCGCTCGTCCCGGCGCAGCCCCAACGGGGCGAGGGCACGGTCGCGGGGTCACAGCGGACCAGAGCTGCCGGCGGGCGGGCGCCCTCACAGGTGCGTGTCCTCCTCGAACACGTCCGAGTCCTCGGGGTCCCGCTTGCCCCCCATGAGCGCGCTCCAGCCCCCCGGGCCGTTGACGGCCCCGCCGCCGTTCAGGCTGGGCTGCTTCTCCTGCATCTCCGACTGGCTGTCGCTGGCCACGTCCAGCGTGGGGTTGTCGTGGCAGCCGTTCTCTACGAAGCGCAGCTCCTCGCCGTGTGACTGCGGCGGTGGGATGGGAGAGGGCCGCTGGGCGAGTGCCCCGGCCCAGGCCCCCACCTGCCCGAACAGCTCCGGGCTCACGGCACCGGAACCATTCACTGTTCCTTCCCTGGTCTGTGAAACCCTACACAGGGAACCCCCAGCGGACCCTCGACAGATGCCCATTCCCTTCTGTTCCCATAACCAAACTCCTGATGATCCTTTGCACTAAACAACCAGTGGCTTCCCTGACATCATCTGATCTCTCCCCACAGTCCCCCACTGCACCTCTAGCACCTATGATGGGGCTGGTGCCCTGCAGACAGGAGGGATAAACTGGGGGCTAGGCTCGGGACAAGCAGCTTCAGGCACAGACCCCCTCATCCCAGGACCATTAATGCCACCCCACCTGCAGTGAGGACAGTGAGTCTCCCTGCTGGGTACTCTGTCCTCCACAGGCACCAGCCCCAGCTCAAGTCCTCCTGCAGACGTGCCCCCATGCTCACCACGTGTTTGAGCTTGGGCAGCCGGCGCTGCCAGCAGTTATAGAGCAGGCCCAGCACGATGATGATGACACAGATGGCCCCGATGACCACCAGCACCACAAAGAGCGTCCCATAGTCGCTGCGCACCTGGCTGGCCCGTGCCTGGCAGCTGCTTGTAGTGGAGTAGTTCTGGATGCCAATCTGGGGGTGAGAGGGGCCAGTTTCCTCAGCTGAGGTCCTGGGTGTCAGGGCTCCCTGTGGGGCTGTGGGGTTGGGGCTCAGGGACAGGGGACAGGCTTTGAGAAGAGCTGGCATACTCCTGGCTACACTCTCTTAGAGGCCTGGACCTGTGCTCACCTGGGGCTCTATCCCTGTCTCTGCCCAATCCCTATCCGTTCACCAGAGGGCAGCCCCAAGCCTCTCGATCCCATGCCTCCATTCTCAGCCTCTGCTCACATCCCCCCATGGCTCTGCCCTGACCGTGTCCCTGCTGGGGCAGAAGTCTGGCTCCACTATTGATTCAGGTCCCTGGAACACAGCTTCCACCTTGGGCATGGAGGTGATCTGGCATCGTTCTGACCACTGTGGGCTATACAGGATGCTGGGGACAGCCCACATCCTGGGCCACCACCAGCCCTTTTCCCATAAGAGTGGGTGGTCACCAATGGCATTTGGCTGGCCGGTACCCCTGCCACAGTGCAAGCTGTCTTGGGTGGGCTGGTCTTCTCAAGCCTAGAGGCTGCTGTGCCCATACTGGGCCAGGCAGGTGCTCTCTCCACAAATCAGCATCTCAAGCAGAGAGCAGGGAAGGGGAGGTGCCATCCTCATCAGATGACAGGTGCCAGGGTGAGGGTGCTGTCTACTAGCTCCCAGTGCAGAGACCTGGGAGCCTCCCTTTCTGCCTTGGACTCCCCTGAGGCCAGGTTTCATCTCTTCTTGGGTGTCTATGAACAACCTGTTTCCAGTACCTTTCTCTATTGACTTTTTAGTTACCAAAGATCAGTTTCTCTTGCTAGGTTCACCCACCAATGAAATTGCTAAATTTGCCAGACCAGGTCAGTCTGAATAGTGTCCAGCAAAGCTAGAACACCCAGGGGCCGAAAGAGGCAGGAAGTTTCTGTGGGAAAAAGATGAAGGCCAGCCCAAGTTTCCACCTGCCCCCCCGCCACCATCCCGTGTTCATGAACCCAGAATTTCACAACTGGAAAGGCCCTTGGTAGCCATCCAGGTAGTAAGGCCAGCATCATGCTTAAAGGCCTGGGCTCTTAAATCATTCAGACCTGGTCCAAAGCCTGGCTCTGTTGCTTCCTGGCTGTGCGTTCTTGGGTGAATCACTTCCCTTCCCTGGGCTACAGCTCTCATCTTAAATAGGGCACCAATGGTACTCAACTGGGTACCTTATTTAATCCTCACAAGGCCCGGGCTGGCACTGAGGGCTGAGTGAGAGAACCCAGCGCAGTCTGGCACTTAGTAAGCATTCAGTGTGCTTATCAAAAAAACCCCAAACCACCAGCACAACCACCTTTCCGCCTTGCGCGTAATAGATAAGGAGGTGGGGTGCACGGTCACGCACAGCTCATCTTTCCCAGCTGTGAAACACTGCAGAGCCTTGGAGAAGGGAGAGGACTGATACCAGGTCACTGGGTTTCACAGTGAGGAGCTGGCATGGTGGCTGTCCTGAAGAAAGGAGGTGAGGAACCCAAGGTCCTCCCTTGCAGAGAAAGTAAAACAAGGAGCAGGAGGACCAAGGAGGAGGACCGAGTGGGGGGCCTTCCCCTCCCAGGCCCCGGCTCTGCTCAGCCCTACACAGGGGTGGCTAGCTGTGCAGGAGGACAGGTTGGCCAGCCTGCTCCTCAGCCCATGTCTCCAGGACCTGCCATGCAGCTGGCCAACTGCACTGAGTCACAGGTGCCCCTCGAGATGGCAGGGCCCTCCCCTGAGCCCGAGCCCCATCCCGCCAGATGGTGCCTGGTTGATGGCTTCCAGAGCATGCCCATGCCTGTCGTGCTTTCTCTTGTGGTTTCTGAAACTGCATCACGCTCTCCCACCCCACCAGGCCTCTGCCAATTCCTAGGGCAATTCCCACCTACCCACAAGACTCCCACTTACCCATCAGGCCCCCAAGGCACCTCGGAGGTCCCCTTCCCTCTGAGTCCTATCCTGACCACCACCCCCTCCGGGCCCTTTCGCAAACTGTGCGGTGGTGCATATACATTCCTATGCATTCGTGCACTCTGTCTCTCCCACGGGAACTGTGTCTTAGGAGGACTGAAAGGAGGAGCTGTGCAGAGCAAGATTCTGTCTTCTGCTCCTTTGCACCACCATGCAGTCTCCTACCCTCAGGGAAGGCAGCCCTGCTCCCAGAGCTCCCTGCCTTCTTACCTCCACCAGATTCCTTCGGATGTCACCCAGCATGGAAAGGACATCTTGAGTGGGCACCACCCCTGGGGGGAGACACCATCATCAGCACAGCCTTGGCCATTGGGGCGCCCCCAGCTCCCTGGGAGAGCCTCTGGCCTGAGCTTCCAGAGGCTTGCTTTCCCCCTCCTGACCACATGCAGACCCCATGGTGTGTGCACTCCCCCTTTCTCCTATGCGGCCTCATTGCAAACTAAGGAGTGAATGCCTGCCATCTGACACATGGGACACCGGGCGGTCACCCCAAAGCCCCACACTGCTGCTTTTCTGAACTCGCCCCTTCCGCACCCCACCAGTCAGTGTGCAGGACTCACTGTCTCCTCTGGTGCTGAAACCACACCTCTTCCTCTCCTGGTCCCGACATTTACACCCTCCTCCTCTTCTCCAGAACTTCAGTTCAACTCCAGTTGAACCCTACACTACGGGCCCAACCACTACCTCTTCCTGCTATCCCAGGGTCCAAGGTCAAAGCCCTGTCTGTGTGCTTTCCTGTGGTTCTGCAGACCTCTCATGGCCCTCGGGAAACGGTGCTGGTTTAACACTGCCTCCCTGGGCCCCCCTTCCATGTGCTGCCCCTGCTCACCCTGCTCGCCCACCAAGGTCATTAGAAGGTGCTGCTCCTTCTCGCTGGGCTTGCTCAGGGAGATGTGCCAGTCCCCATGATGGCCACTGCCATGGCGGGGCAGCACCTCCTCCACCAGGGCCAGAAGCTGCAGCCCTCGGTGCTGCCGGAACACCTCCTACAAGGACGGAAAGAGAGCCCCCAAGCCAGTGATGGAGAGGGCTCTACTGACGCCCTGCCTCCAGGTCTAGCCCCCGCTCCAACCTCCAACCTCCAACCTCCTAGTAGCCAAACACTGGGAAAGGCCATCCGGCTATTCCAGAGGGGACTGCTCTCGTAGCTCTGGAGACCATCGAGAGACTCTGAGCTTGGCCTTTGGGCGGAACTGTGGGAACACCAAGACACATATCCACTGGGCATCCAGGTGCTCCTTCCTGCCTGGGCCTCTCACATGAGGAGGGTGTGGGGCCTGCCTGGGGATACTCACTGTTGAGCTTGGGGACAGATACACTCATGTGCAACAAGTCTGGGAAGTGGGTGTGCAGTGTGTGAAGGCCTACGGAAGTCTGCTGGCCGGGCCTGAGTATTCAAGTGTCCAGTGCAAGGGATGAATATACTGGGAGGCCAGGCGTGCAACAGACCAAAGGTGCACACCAAACCCAGGAGCGGAGGTGGGGAGCAGTAACATGCTCACCTCTTGGCTGTCATTGCACAGATACTGCCCAAAGTTGGGGAGTCAAGAAAGCTATCTGAGTACTTTTATGGTGGCACTGGTGACCGGAGGAACTAAAACAGATATGGTTAAAATGGTAACCCCTGGAAGCAGGGCTGGGGCAGGAGGAGGGATATAAGCAGATTTTGTTCTCATCTGACACTCTCTTGTACTGTTTAGA